TGGATCTAGGCCTGCTTACAGGTACAAGGAAATATCAAATAAGTACAAGTTCATATAAGGGAGTATGTGTAAAAAGACGAACCTCGAAGTCTCGAATCTCAAACTTATTTCATTGTAAAGCGCACTGAATGCAGCGGCAATAACTTTGTTGAACTGATCATACAAGCGATTTATGCTGGAATGGCTATGTTTGGCTATTTGAGTAGCAGAATTGGCGATTCAATTATGGCCTCGTGCTGGAGACTTTTGAAGATAGTATTTCAATGTGTTCTCACAACACAACACGAAACATGTTTCCACAAATTATCCGGCGCCGCATACCTGTAAACTTGGGATTGGGCGCATGACTGCATGCATTATCAGAACACCCTCCAAAGTCGTGCATATATCATAACTCCTAACTTTACCTTAGTCAGCAAAGTGATAAGCTCAACTTATGGAGTAGCTTTTGTTCAAACAATAGTTTCACTACTCTTGAAGGGAGTTTGCTCTAAGGTCAATGACCTTTCTGAATGTGGTCTTAATGAAATTATGGCTGAGATGAATATGCTTGCTCCGACCGAAAGAGGTTGATTGCTCATTTAGTGCCATGATGCAAGTATTATCGATCCACCAGTATAATTGGCTCTTAGAGGTGAAATATTCAGTTGAAATTGAAGGTTTGTGAAACCCTCCAAGCTCCTTTATTGCATCGTCCATTGCTAAGTACTCAGCTTTACTGGAGAATAAGGCCTGTGACTTGTTTCGTTGATCTCCATATAATTGGAACAGTAAGTTTGAACACGTACTCAAGTGGTAGATTCATGAATGATTTAATCTTCTCCCCGATATGCATCGCTACAACCATAATGCTCAACTGGGGGACTATCGTCAAGTGTCGCCTCGACAGAAAATACCGTCCAAATTGAAGACCCTGAATGGAAAAAGGTTCATAGACATCGGCATGTAGACATTCTAGTGGGTTATTGACTTTAGATTCACCTCTCTCTGGGATGGGACGTACAAACCTTTGAAGCACAAAAACTTCTCAAGGATTGTCTATTCGATGTTGAATAGCCAAGCTCTTTAACATTGACACAGATGTACGCCCTAAAGATATATACCGATTCGTGTACAAATTGAGGAAAAGAAGTCTCTGGAACATAAAAAACGAAACTTGGTTGACTTTATTTATTCATCTCAGGCATATTGGCCGCATAGTCACATAGTCATTATCGTCGCGATAGAATACTTTGCCATTGAAGTGAAGAATAACATCGCTGGTCATTATCACTCTCGTTGAGGTCTGATTTATTTGCAACCTTTGGCATGTAGTCGGCAACGCGTAGACAAATCAATCCTTTAATCGCTTTAGCACAATATTTTTTCTCATAGTCAGATTAGCACCTGATCTTTGAAACTATACCTGGTACCTGACTCAGTCTTCATGAAGTGATTTTGTTGTTCGGAATGGGTACAGTGAAGTGAGTCCAAGAATCAAGTTTTCAAGTCCATATTTTACAAATTAGCATGATAGCAAAGATGTTCACATTGACCTTCAACGTACATGTGTGAGCTCAATAACAATCACTGTCAGCGGAGTCAGGGAATTTTCAAACTTGGCAGGCTTCCTTTTACTAGTAAGGGCGCTCTGCAATTAGGATTGTTGTCAATTTTCTTCCGGTATCTAGAACTTTTGATTTTCTCCTTCTTGCGCTTCTTGCTCTTCTTGCTCTTCTTCAGAGGTGTCTCTTTTAATCCGATATCCGGTACCAATGAAAGTTTTTCAGGCACATCTACTTCCATCATCTTTTGATTAATGTTCATAATCGGCGTAACATTGACGCGCTGAGGAGGCACTTGAAAAAATGTCCTAACGACCTGTTCATCGTTCAAGTTGATCGATGAGCTCATACTAAATTCAATTGCCATAGTTCGGACTAAGGAGTGGCGTTCTCAGGAAAGCCAATGAATTCCTATATTGTCTTCGTAGGAGATGCTATGGAAATGGCCTTGGTCCAATGCCTATATAATGATAGGGTAATTCTGCAAAAATACTTCAAAAACGTTTCCATTAGCATCCAAGGGGAGGGACAAAGCCCTAGGCAGCCAGTCAAGTCATTCGAGCACAGCCGCTACTAGCATTAAGAAACTTAGAAAAAATTTTCAAATTTTGGACGACCTCTTCATTATCTCTCACGGAATACCACGGAAAAGGAGATGGCAGTTTTCTGGGAGCATTCAGGAACTTAAAACTGGGCTTTAATCAAGTTTTACTCTAAATTATTTCTCTATTATATAGTCGTCAGCACCTTGGAACTTACTAAGCATTTGCAGCAAATTCGGTTGTCAAGTTAAATTAAACAACGGGCTCGTAACCTTCGTACATGACCGATTTAAAATCATCTTTCTGTCTTCAGCGGCCAATGGGCTCATACTTGATTAGACGGCTTTTGAGGTGTGCTTAGCCAGAGTCGGCTCTTGTGTCAGGGATTATCAAAAGATTTAGTTTTCAGTCTACTACGTACTTTTCGAAGATTCAAATAGTCAAAATGCCTTTGATGAAGGTTCGTTACCCTATGGGAGCAAGCCAGTAACTGAAACGCATACCTGTCTAATCAGGATAGAATGAATAAGGGATCTCCGAACGGGAGGAGTATAACGTTATTTCCCCCATCAAATACCCTAGCCAATGATGCGTGCTTCAAGCGTCTCTCTTTGAAATCAGCTACAACAAGAATACAGTTTTCGTTCAATTTTTTTTCCTTCGTCGCCCAATAAACGTTCGTGGTTTGCAAGCAATATTAAAAATTAGTTGATTTAAATTTTATACTCATTGTCGATTTTATATCCCAATCTAAATGATCTCAAATGTGCGGCTTGTATTGTTAAAAGAATGTTCAGACTGAATGACAAGTTCGCCATGATCTCAAGGAGCAGCCGCACTCAATTAAGTGATGTTTTCTTAAAGAGTTTTGTTAGCATGATTGTTTTGCAATTCAAATTGGACTATTGACTAAATGCTTATGCGACGTAGATTGCATTTAAGCACAAGAAATATGTGTCATTGCCGTATGCTAGAAATTCCGGTTAATACTGCCATTTTAAACCACAGGGAAAAAAGGAGTAGTAATGCTCTCAGTTGTCTTGACAACATGAGCACTCAATTGTGGTGTAAAGAAGTAGCATCTCGAATGAGACCAAATCTGCTATGCCGGTAAATGATAATCAAAAATGATGCTAGTGCTTTGTTGCAATGGATCTAGAAAAGATTTACCTAGATGCCAAATTCGAAGAAGAGGCCAGATGTGACAAAGGCCTCTTGAACACAGCGCTTTATTCTTGTTTGTTCGATCGGATCACATGTTCTGTGATGAGCATAGTTCTTTATTCTTCAGAGAGAATGCGAATCATTCGCAGAAAGGATAACCTTTCTTAAGGTAGCACCTGATACAAAGCACAATGCTTCACGCTGAGATGCGCAATAGAGACGCACGCTTGAAGTTGAAAAACCCAACTGGCCGTTGAGTTGTGTAGTTGACAGGTTTAAGATTCGTAAAAGAGAAAAGAAACGGTGAACTGTTAAATCAATATCGAGATTGACTTTTCGGGATCAGTGTCATGACTCAGTGTATGAACTTATGACGCAAGAGGCTGCTGTTATTCAGGACCCCATCAAAGGTGCACTCGTAAAAGAAGTCCGCATCTAGTGCACAGCTGTATGGTACAATTTCTAGTGAAAGATTCAGTTATTTACCGTTTGGTTGTGTTTATAGATATAGGACTCCGTGGTCATGAAATACGTGCTACATAGAAACTGAGACTAAGCTTTTATTGCAGGCTCCAATTGCAAGAAAGCAATTGACATCTTCCTCACTAACACCATCGATCTCCTTTTCCATAAGTGAACAAGAGAAACGCGACATTGGTAAAGTAATTCACCAGCAGCATGTATAAACCGACATCGGGAAACTCACGAACGCATTCATTTGGCCCCCTTTTATGATATGGCAGCTGAGAATAGGCATATTCACCCATTCTTCTAGATACATTGATTCAAAAGCGTACTGAGTATATGCGGTTGGTGCTTTATCAAGATGATAGTGTATATACCAAGAAAGAAATTTCACATTTGATATCTTGACATCTTTTAATCAAGTTCGAAGAAAAACTGCGCGCATAAGTACTCGGTACCAGGACCTGATTGTCTCTACATCAAAAGATTCCAATCAAGGTGATATTAATTGGCTCCTGTCATACTTACTTGAATTAAAACGTCACTTGCCTTGCCATAAGAAGCGTATCTTCATAAATTAGAGGATTTAAACTTCGTGAACATTGAAAATGATCAGTCTCCGAAAACCAACCATCTTACTTGCTTCTGTGGTTTGCACTTTTGTGGTCTTTGGAATTGTCAGTTCTCGAAATGAAAATATAAAAGCAGAGATTCAAGAGGAGGCAAACCACTTGCTTTATCAATGGGAAACTCTCGAGAGAAATTCCAGGTTTGTTCACAAGCAAAACGATACAAGTGAAGTTGCGCTTGAATCATGCACTGTGGTAAATCCCCTCACAAACCAATTTTTTGATCTTCGGCCTCTAGGTGCGTTTGGAAACGATGGACTCGTACAAGCCTGGAATGCACGCGGTTACGATTATGGTCGAAACTTTTCCATAGGTATTTGTTCGACACCTTTGAAACAACCTCAGAGTCTTCCAGAGTCAGATTTTGAAGGAATCGCCAATAAAAGTGAGGTTGGTGGATATTATACTGACATAACAGGTAACAAGAAATCCATAGGACAGATATCAACAACCCCGAAATTTAGAGGACGGAAGCTTGTGCTTGAATACACAGATGGTAGTGTTTGTGAAGGTTTTAAAAGTGACGGCTCACTCAAAAAGTCAACTATTCTATCGTTTGTTTGTGATCGGGAGATTATGACGAAAGCATCAATCTCTTATGTGGGCTCTTTGCATGACTGTTCATACTTTTTTGAGGTGAGAACTATTCATGGGTGCCCAACAGCTGCAAAGAAAGACGACAAGGCGATCATCTGGATTTTCCTTTTCATATGCTTGTGTGCAGTCGCGGTGTTTTTCGGGGGAGGTTTTGTTTACTCATTTTTCAAATATAATCAAGGTCGTCAATCAGTTCCTCACTGGAAACGCAATTCCTTCAGAGCTGGGGTGAAAAACTTGACCCAGGTAAGTCAACGTGAAGAGATTTACAGATAACTAGATACTAATATCGATTTAATCGGCTATAGAGGGAATTTACGCGCAACCGATATCGCGATAATGTTCCAGAATTCAATGGCTTTTTCAGTTCATTTACAGGTGATGAAAACGAGCTGATTGATGCACTGGACGTACAAGAGAATAGAAACCAATAGATTACTAGCAGTCCATATCAAAACATGACCTATTAACTGACGATGTGTTACCCGGAACTCAAATTCCGGGTAACTAAACTCTGAGCACGAAAATTTTGCGTCGAGGTGAGCTGAATAAGGTGGGAACTTATTGAAAAATTTTCAGCAGCAGCTTTTTCAGAAGACTGAATAATATAAAATGGGTAAAGAAAAGACTCACGTTAACGTCGTTGTTATTGGCCACGTCGACTCTGGTAAATCTACCACTACCGGTCACTTGATCTACAAGTGTGGTGGTATCGACAAGAGAACCATCGAGAAGTTTGAAAAGGAAGCTGCCGAGCTTGGTAAGGGTTCCTTCAAGTACGCTTGGGTTTT